CTGAAATTATTTTCAAGCTTTTCTAATAAAGCTTTCAAGTATAGGCATTTTATGGTCTGTGCTTGATAATTTTAGGATTTTTAGTGGATCTGTTCCTATTGTCTATTTCTGCTTATTCTTGCTCATGGTGTCTTGTTTCCTGCCATGCCAAGTGACCTTTCGAAAATTATTTGTGCACATAATGTGAGGCCAGAGACTTTATTCCAGGAAAATTTTGCATTTGCCTTGGCTGTTGCTTGGGAGTAGGAGTACTCCCAATGTGAGCCAACTAAGTTTGAGGGCTGGAGAGTCTTGACGGTCTAAGCGATTCACCTTAATGAAGTACTCCCTTTGATTTACTTCTCTATTGCTCTCCTTTGAGAGTCATTGGAACAGAATAAAAGACTATAAGAAGATAAGGGCTTACTTATCATTCACTTTAACCTTGAGAGTATAGTCATTTGGTAAACCAGCTTTTGATGGGAAGAGTCTCCTATTAGAATCTGTATCTTTTTTATGTGGATTTTCAAATTCTATTTCCTTTGCCCCCAAGGCTTCAAAATAGAAATTCATATGTACTGGTTTTGTCCTTTATTTCTTATGATTTTGTCAGATACTTAGTTGTTAAGAAGATTTTTTTCTCAAATATCATTCAGTGTTTATAGTTGTTTGCCTTCGGAATTGTGTTTCAATAACCTGGAGACTGAAGGTCTTCCTACTATGAGAAGGGTCATTCTAAGCATTGTTCCACATTTGGAGTTATAGCAGTGGACAAAATGGACAACTTCTTATTCTAATCATAACACATTTCAGTGGGGGGAGTCAGATAATACAATATATAGATGGTAAGTGCTAAGGAGAGAAATAAAATAGGAAGGTAGGGATAGATTGGTAGTGTCAGGATGTTGGCAAGTTTATAATTTTAGGATCCGAGAAGAGCTCATTGAGAAGGCAATAGAAGAATAAAGATCTGAAGGAGGTGAGTAGACAGGGTGGCTCTGCAGGGAAGAGCATTCGAGGCAGAGGGAACCAGCGCAGAGGCCTTCCTATGAGTCTTGGCAAGGAGACCGGTGAGGCTGGTTTGGAGAAGAAGCTGGAGGGCAGTGAGTAGGATCACGTTGGAGAGAACCACGTCGTATCTAAGATCTCCCAGGTTTTGGAGCACTGATACTGACAGACCTTCTCATGGAGACCCAAGAGGGTTTCGAGCAGTGATGTGGTATGATTTTGGTCAGTTCAGGACATTATGTTGAGAATAAGCTCTGAAAGGGCAGAGGGGTGAAGTAGGAGTGATGGAGTTATGGCACAAACAGGACAACATTTCCGCCCACTTCCAGTCCAACTTCTAGTTCACTCTTAAAAGCATCTATTGTTTCTGGAGGTGATAAGTGCTAGGAAGAAATAGAACTGGTTTGGTCTGAATATTTACAGTTAAGAAAATATTTTTAAGCGTAGAATATTTATAATTTCCATATAAATTACAAAACACTTTTAATTTGGGGACTTGTGATGATGGATTCATTTCATGAATTCTTTTAGCTTACAGTCAAGAAAAGGTATAACATTTTTGGAAGTGGTAAAAAAAAAAAAAAAAATTCCCCTCTGTAGATACGTCCTTTTTTGCTTTATGTATTTGAAGCTATGTTACTGGGTCCATAAAAATTTAGAGTTCTGATTTTTTTTTTCCCGTTTTGGATTGATCCCTTTATCCTTACTAAAAGTCTCTACCTCTAGTAATGCTTCTTCAAACTGCCTTGTTTGAAATTAGAGTAGCTATATCAACTTTCTGTTGATTGGTATTTGCCATAGTCTGTCATTTTACCTTTAACTTTTATGTGGCTTTGTAAAGTATATCTTGTACAAGCAACCTATTTTTAAAAACGCAGTATTGTTCATTTATTTTTAAGGTAGTTCCGGATATATTTGGTTTCATTTTTGCCACTTTATCTTTTTTTTCTATTTCATCCACTTGTTTTCATCGTTTTTTAATCTCCTTTCCTGCTTGTTTTCAATTATTTAGATTCTTAAATTTTTCTTGTATTAGTTTATCTATGTATACATTTACTCTTATTCTAGTGGTTACCCTAGCAGGGATCGGCAAACTCACTTGCAGGCCACATCCAGCCATCCTCCTGTTGTACATAAAATTCTATTGAAACGCAGCCACACCTATGTGTTTACATATCATGTATCACTGCTTTGGCACCACAATAGCATAAGTGTTGTGTAGCCGCACAGAGAGATTCATGTATGGTTTGCAAAGCCTAAAATATTTACCATGTAACCCTTTATAGAAAAAGTTTGCCAACTCCTGGTTCTTAAACTTGACCATGCATCATAGTCACTGGGAGGGCCCCCATCTCCAGAGTTTCTGATTCATTAGATTTCAGTTGGGGCCAGAGAATTTGCATTTTTAAGAAATTGCCAGGTGATGCTCAGCTGCCGGTCTGTACCACTGTCCTAGAGGTTATAATGTGCATCTTTGACTTATTCAGTAAAAAATAAATGTGTATACTACTCCCACAATGCTTAAAAGCCCAAAGCCTCTTTAACTTTATTTGCTTACCTCTTAAGAGCGCTATTTCATAATCATCTCAAGCTGGTAACTCAAAAGTCCATCAACAGTAGAATGGATATTACCAAATTGTGGTGTGTTTATACCCTAGAAAACTATAAGCAATGAAAATGATTCTCCCAAATAGTGTATTGAGTGAAAAGAAGCTAGCTTCTCGTATGATTCCTTCTAGAGAAGGCTCAAGAATGGGTAGAGCTGACAGTGCGGCTGTGAGTCGAGACTAGCGTTGGTAGGTGATCATGACTTCGGGGAGGTTAGTGAGGGTGTGTAGAGGATGCTGATAATGAACTCCTGGTCTGGAGACTGGTTACACTGCACGTCTGTTTTGTGAAAATTCACCGAACTGCAGACTTACAATTTATATACTTTTGTCTACCTTATTTTTGATTAAAAAAAGTTAAAATTTAGGGACGCCTGGGTGGCTCAGTTGGTTGAGCGTCTGACTTCGGCTCAGGTCATGATCTCATGGCTCGTGAGTTCGAGCCCCACGTTGGGCTCTGTGCTGACAGCTCAGAACCTGGAACCTGCTTTGGATTCTGTGTCCGTCTCTCTCTCTCTCTCTGCCCCTCCCTCGCTCATGCTCTGTCTCTCTTTCTCTCTCTCAAGAATAAATAAGACATTAAAAAAAATTTTTTTTAAGTTAAAATTTAATTTCCCAATAGTTTGAGAAAATTAAGAGTTAAAAATTTTTTAAGTGGTAAGAGACATTTACTCTCTTCGATTCTTGTGTTTGTAGGAACAGAACACTGTTTCCATGGGAACTTCTGGCTACTCGGTGTTTTAGTACCTGTCTTTCTATAGATTTGTGTGTCTCCTCTCTCTTGGCTACATTTTCTTTTACATGGTGGTGGTAAAATAAAGTTTTTTGGGGATCATATTAGTGTTTTTTACAGAGCAGTCAGTATAGAGCACAGGTTTTAACTTATCCAGACTGGCTCTCTAATAGTGTTATGCTAAAAAAGAAAAAAATATATCTATCTTTTAACTTGAAGATAGTATTTTCAGTTTAGTTTTTTCTTACAAATTATGCTATTAAAAAAAACTTGATGGAATGAAATGTGGCTTTATATTGGTTTGTCTATTTGATTTTCTTTTTTCCAGATAAATTCAACAGTCTTACCACTTGTCTGGTGTATTTTCTTTAAAATATATTTAATAGTTGAAGTATCCCTCTGTAGTAATGATTTCATTCTAGTTGATTTGGGTATTTGCATAGGTGAGGGGAGCAAGTTGAAAGGAAAAGATTCTGACCCATTATTGATCTGAAGCCTGTGGTAAATCTGCTGTTCTGCCTCGCCCATCTTGTTTGTCGTGGTTGGTTTGTGCAGGGTCCTAGAGAAGACCGTCTTCGCAGACAAGTAAAATGCATACAGCTTGTGACTGGGGGCGGGGGGGAGGCGCGGTTCATATTATACAAGGAGATGATACTAGTGTGGTCATTAATAAATATTCTTAAAGGAGCTTTGGGTAGAATATTTTAGAATCATTTGTGAAAACAGATTGTTCAATCTGGTTTCTGTGGCCTAAATAAATAGAATTGTGAGATCAGAGGGTTAATTATGCACAGAAATGAGCACTGTGATATTCCATGTTTTACTGATGCAATAATAAGCACCCCAGCAGAATGAATATTGCATAAAACCTTATGTTGTATTTGTATAAATTTTCTTATGAATTAAATAGGAGAAAAGAAATTTAGGTTTAGAAACCTTTGTATTGAAAGCCTCTGAAATTTAGGTAAAGAATAAGGATTGCAGCTGCATAGATAATTTTTTAAGTACATGGAGAATTTTTACCTTTCATCTGGCAGTAGCTGCCATAAGATGATGTCACCTTGTAGCTGATTGGCTGTTACAGCACCTAGGGCAGGGAAGAGAAAGAAAAATGCCGGCACAAACCTCAGTGGTGGTTCTGTGGTTGTTTCTGTCTATTTTTGATAGAATCTTTGATTAGTACCAGATCTACTGTATTTGGCCATGTGAACCATTGGGAGCATCCTAGGGTGAGGGAAATTCAGCGCTTTCAGAGGAATGAGGCGACTGATTTGCAAACGGATCTGTGATTGTAAGTTGCAAAATCTGGGTGTAAGGAATAAGGCAGGGTGTGCTGGAAGATACACTATGGGAGGAGCTGGCAGAAAATGCTTACATGAGTAGCAGAAAAATGAAAAATGCTTTTCGCTATCAGGGTTAATATATCTGGTTTTATGATTTGCCTTCATGTGTAGGTAGGAAATATGATAATATTGCAGTCAAATTGTAAATAATACTGGGCTATTTCGTATGGTGTCGGCCAGTATATAAATGCTTATGCAAAGGAGCTTTATTTTGTATTCTGTCTTACAAAGTAATGATTTTATTTACAGCTTTATTTGATTTTTGAGTCTTGTGGGAAATGGAGCAAGGCGTAGTTCTCTTAAAATACATTTTTCTAATGCTTTGTGCAGATAAAAGCTTTGATGATGAGGAATCGGTGGATGGAAATAGGCCATCATCAGCTGCTTCAGCCTTCAAGGTTCCTGCACCTAAAACATCCGGAAATCCTGTCAACAGTGCGAGGAAGCCTGGTTCAGCAGGTGGCCCTAAGGTTGGAGGTAATGTAAATCCATTTCCAATCTGATGTGCATGCCTCATGCCCTTGATGTGGACACACATACTTAGAACTTCAGAGGAATATGTTTATTCATGACTGCAGCATGGTTGCAGGTCTGGGGCGTCTCTTGCAACACACAGAAGAATGTGCTGCCTTTTCCAAAATGGTTTTAAAATGGGATCTATTGCTGTTTCCTGTGAATTAGTGTATCTTGAGTGTATTCATTTTTCAGATGCCATTTTTCAAGGGAGACATTTAAGGGAATTTTTTGATTTGGGGTTTTTTGGTTTTGTTTTTAAGGAGAGAGCAGGTTTTTTCAGATTTTGGCTATTAATTTTCAGGTGCTATCGTTGTTAAAGAAATACTGATTTTTGTAACGTTTCTATACGTTCATCTAGTAGTGAGTCTTGAATACTTCAGGGTTGAAAGAATGGTTGAAGATGCTGGATATTGAATCATTTGTCACAATAGGAAATGGGTGGTGGTCAAGTGAAATTGCCTCAACAATGGTTTCTGGATTTGATAATAATAGGAAAAAAAGCTTTTATGAAGTTACAAACACATAGTACATTCTTTGATCGTATTAGAACTGCTTCTGTCATACTGTTTATCTTTTAAATTTTTTTATGGGTATTTTTTCATATTCTAATAAGAAAGCCACGAGTACTTTTCAGGTGCTACTTTCTGCCAGGTCTTTTTGGTAGAATGAATCCTATTAGAATAAGTAAATATTTAATGCTAAAAGGACATTAGCTACTTTCTCTTTTTCTTTCGTGTGTGTGTGTGTGTGTGTGTGTGTGTGTGTGTGTGTGTGATAATTTGAGAGAACAGATTGTGCCTTGTTTTTGATAACTGGTAGGAAAATCCTGATCTTCAGAATTTTGTTTTTCCCCTTTTTACCTATAGCTTTTTTATTAAAAGTATAGAGAAAAGAAAAATAAGCTGTATATTTTGACCAGGTCCTAGAAGTTGTGTTCTCTTGACCTTTCTGTACAACTAAACATTAATTTCAAGTCATGTGATATTCTCAATGCAGAAAAAATACCATAAATATTTCATTTTAACTGTCTTTAGTGTGCCATATAACTAGCAAGAAAGATGATATATACACACACTTATGTATCTATATATAGACATATAACCTCTTTACATATACTCTTATGCATATAAATAAATAGGTAAATATTTTGAAATAGAAATGTCTTAATGATTTCTCTTGGTATTTTGGGTAATTTACACTTTAGTGTTTTAATTATTTTCTCTTTGTTATAGGAATATATTATCATCCAAATGTTAGTTATCATATCCTATTACATGACATTGTCTATTATGCCTTCTTATCTCTGGTAAAAAGTATACGACAATTCTGTGATTTCTTCCTTTTGTAACATATGGCTACCTTGAATTACTTGCAAAGGGGATTTTTTTTGTCTTGATTTTTGAATTATAGATTTCTGATATATGATACAATAGTGATTTCAGGTCTTATTTAACTTAAAATGGATTAATACGTGAAATGCATGGTGATAATATTTAACATTTTTGTGAATCTAAGCCATTCATTGGTTTATGATTAACTCTGCTTTTCATGTTTTATTTTCCTTAGAGGAAAATTGAGATTGTAGTTTACCTACAAAAGCTTACTTAATTTTGATGTTAATTAAACTGATAAGATCAGAGTGTCTTGTTGTTGTTGTTTTTAAGGAAACAGATTTCCTTTCTGCCACATCACCTTCTCTGGTTTGTAGTCCTACCAGATATGAAAATGCTAGATAGCTTTTGTGATCATGGGCATTAATCACTCATACGGATTATCTCATCCATCTAAGCAGTGGCTCTTTCGATAAAAATGAGGACGAGATCTTCATTCCTTCTTCCTTCCCCTCCTTGTCCTCTTTCTCATCCTCCTCCTTTTGGCAATTGCAGATTCATCCTGCAAATTTGTGTCTGTTGCTTTTGTTTGCCCCAGCTCATTTAGGTTCACTGCCTGCTTCTCTACCTAAGAAAAGAGCTCTAGCCAGGAGATACTGATACTGCTTCCGAAACTAATGCCCTTCTTGGCTCTCAGTCCTTTGAAAATTTAACTTTAGATTTTCTGTTCTTGGCAGAGGCTTATTGATTTTTAGATTAGTTATAGAAAGTTTTCGTAAGAGTTTAAGAACCTTTGCATTAGAAAGGACATTGGTCGTATAGTTCAGTTTAGTGTTCAAGGGTAGCAGTCCCTTTCACAGTATTCCTGATGGGTGACTACTCAACATCTGATTAAAATAATGTATGCACATTGATTACAATTTGGAATAAAACCACCTCCAATACCACTATATGTGAGCATAATCGATTGATATATTATGATGAACTTTCTTCTAATTACTTTCCAATAATTTACATATATATATAAACTTACACACACACGCACACACATTTTCTTAGGAGGAGGACAGAATTGGCACCATTCGTGATGTCCTTTTGTATACCTTTTTTTTTCTTACTAGTATTTTACGTGGAGCATTTTCTCATTATCCTAATTTATTAATTGAAAACTATTCATAGCTAAATAATATCTAGGTTGCTTTCAATATTTCCTGCCGTGCTAAATAATTCCATTATGCTTTTCTGGGTATCTTTTAGCACATCTCTTGCAATCATTTCCTTGGAATAAATTTCTCGAGTTTACTGAATCAAAAGATAGAGGGATTTCTCCTTTCAGTGTGGCACAGTGTCCTCCAGAAAGGTTATAAGCCAAATTCAGTTCTGAATAAATGAATTCTATTTTACATTGCATTAAATTCTGCCTCCTTGTAACTTAAGCAGGGAAGATTAATTATTTGTTAACATGAGACTTTGAAATACTTGAAGGTTGGGTTGTCCCTGTCTCTCTCTGTAATTATTCTGCTTTCTAGACTATACACTTTCTTTCTCATAAGTTTATACGGAATAATGAGGATTCAGTCTAAGCATTTCGTTTGCTACTTCTAGGCATATAATATACTGATAGGTATGTTTAGTTCCTATTAAAGGAATATGGTGGTGGAGGGGTATATGTATTAGTTGAATAAACCCATCACAGTCCACTGCGTTTAACAAATATTCTTTCAAGGAAGATTGCCAAGATAAAAATAAAGTGAATTTCTTTGGAATCCTTACTGAATCTACTTTTGAAGTTTTGGAGTTTAAGTTACTTCTCAGAGATATATGTCAAGATTAAAGAGATGTGTACTATTTTTAGCAAAGTATCCTGTCCAGTTAATTAAAGCCAATAGGACCTGTGTTTAATCTTTAGTGTGTGTTAGTTTTTCTCTGTCCTTTGGCTCAGGGTGCCAACCTGTTTTACTCATATTGTAATCGTGTGGCCTTTAAGTCAAGGAGAATCAAACAAAGGGTCATGGGTTGCTCCATACCAGTATATTATTGCTATAGAAACCCATATTATGTGAGTGTCAGCGTTACCTTTGTGCTTATTAGCTAATTAGATAAAAGGATAAAATGAATTCCTTTATGTATTATTTTTTTTTTAATGATTTCCTTTAAATAGTCCTTTTCTGAATAACATTTATAACTTCATAATAGGGATTAAGGTAGGGGTGCTTGGGTGGCTCAGCCCGTTAAGGGTCCAACTTCGGCTTAGGTCGTGATCTCACAGTTCTTGAGTTTGAGTCTCACATTGGGCTCTGTGCTGACAGCTCAGAGCGTGGAGCCTGCTTCGAATTCTGTGTGTCTCTCTCTCTCTCTCTCTCTCTCTCTCTCTCTCTGCCCCTCCCCTGCTCATGTTCTGTCTCTTTCTCTCAAAAATAAAATAAACATTGGGGGCGCCTGGGTGGCTCAGTCGGTTAAGGGTCCGACTTTGGCTGAGGTCATGATCCCACGGTTCCTGAGTTCGAGTCCCACATTGGGCTCTGTGCTGACAGCTCAGAGCCTGGAGCCGGCTTCGGATTCTGGGTCTCCTTCTCTCTCTGCCCTTCCCCCACGAATGCTCTGCCTCTCTTTCTCTCAAAAATAAACAAACACAAAAATTAAATAAATAATAAACATTGAAAAAAATTTTTTTAAATAGGGGTTAAGGTAAATACGTTTTCTTTTGTGTTCATGGTTTAGAATATACTGATGGAACCTGGTTTTTTAAAATATTTGTGTCTCTAGAGTACTTTAGGTAATAATTTAAAAAAAAAATGTTTTCGTGTTCTCACATATATTCTCTTGTTTAAACCTCAAACCCCATAGAATTCCGTGCTTTGTTATCCCAATTTTACTGATGAGTAAACTTAGGTTTGGAGAAGTTAAGTTGCATAGTGTCATGCATCTAATAAGTGGGCAAAGCACAGAAAGCACTTTGCTGTACAGCCACCCACACTAATGTCACTGGGTAAATAAGAATTCTTCTAGATCCTTTAGCTCTAAGATTATAATCTACAGGGATGGTCACTACCTTTCAGCATCCATAACTCGGTCATTTTAAAGCTCAACTAATATGATTCTCAGAAAAATAGAATATTTGGAAATAAGCAAACCTGAAATTTCTTCTTTGTCAATAGAAATGCTTTTGAGTGTTTTCTTGTTGAAATCACCCCGTACCAATTTATTTTGGCTGTTACTCTTTTTAATATAGAGGTTGACTTAGATGATAATGTAATTGTTATTGTTAATGATTAGTACCAGATTTTGAGGTTAGTCATTTGTTTTTGAGGCTTGTATGTAATCATTGAGACACATCACTGGCTAAATCTTTAGTTAGTTCTCAAAGTTCTGATGTTCTTTCTCACTCGCTCGTTCATTCAAGTGGACAGTATTTTCTCTCTACTCTTTTCATCTAATATCAAAGATTCCTTTGAAATGGTTTTAACTTTTAATTCATATAATTAGATAATTACCACCATTTCAGATTCAGAAGTACTTATCATTTTGATATTTTATATTTGCTTAACTTCATTTATGTCTGACCTGAAGTTTTATTAAGAAGATCCAAATACCGATTTTCCATGCTGATCATTCCCATTTTTTCTCCTC